AGCAGTCCGAAGTGATACGCACGGCTGCCGAAATCACGAAGTTCGCTGTCCACCAGGGCATCGGTTGGAGGATCTTTGTACTGTCTGGTAAGACAGTCGGCCACAACGTTTGTTTTCCCATTGACTATGTTCCAAATAGGTCCGGTATTTTTCACAGCCCCAGATCACAGCGAGGCACTCCTCGTGGATGGAGTATTTCCTTTCAGTAGGAGAAAGCATACAGCTACTGTAGGCAATCGGAGCTAATTCTACCCCTTGCCTCTGATTAAAGACTGCCGAAACAGCGACGTCGCTCGCGTCGCAGACGAGTGTAAATTCCTGAGAAAAGTCAGCCTGGCAACGTTCCTCCGTCGTTTGCACCGTGTAGGGCAATCCTAAGTTTTTTATTTCGTCCGTGACGTCCTGTCTCACGAAGGAGACGGATGACCCAGAATCAAACACGGCCGGCAAGCAGAAATCTTGAATACTCGGGAGGACCCACGGGTTACTGTTGCACCCCGCCGGTCGATACGACCCTTTCTGGGACTGGACTGGTCCTGGCGCTCGGGATTTACCCTCTACTCCCGAGCGTGTGCGTTTCCCGACACGCCAACATTACGACTCGCCTGACCCACGGGGCAGTTGCCCCGAAAATGTCCACCCTCGCCACACCCCTAACATCTCGCTCTTCTATCAACCCCAACCGGAGCAGATCCGGTTACTACCATACTGCTGCGAGTGGATCCAGAAGCCCCCCCCCCATGCCGCGAGGTAGCAGCCAGCGATTTACTCTTCAACCGCCACTCCTTCGGCTACGGTCGTCGCGAGGGTGTACAAGTCCTTCACGGACTCCAGCTTGGTTGCGAACTAAAGGTGACCCTTGACCCGAGGGTGCAGATTCTGTAGAATGTGGCGAACCAGCCCGAGACTCCCCCCTTTTAAACCCTAAAATCTCAGCCGCCGCTATCACCGCCATTCTTTTTTAATTCGATTAGCGTGGGGTGGAGTCCAGTTGGTTCCACTCGGCACACCACTGCCATTATATAGCCATTAAATGGTCTGACGAAGATTGAACACGATCCAAAACGTACAAGGATAAGTTCCTTCACCCGAGGGGGGAGAAAGGTGTCGACAGTCTCGGAGCGAACCATCCCCCAATTTCGAGTAGAATTCAGGTGGGCTCCCAAAATTGAAGTTATCCTAGCTGACGTCCTAGCGACCAAGAGAGAAATAAATTCGAAGTCGGTGACCAGGTTTAAATCGTAGACTCCCTTCACGGCCATTAAAGATTTCAGAACATTTTCCGGGTCCTTGTTCACCAGGAAGGGGACTTTTCAGAGCATCTACTACTAATTTAATCTTCGTCTTACTCCCATACGATCTGTCCTGACTCAATGATTCAGTGACCGGGGACTCAGTCTTAGTTACTAAAGTGGACATAGCTTCCGTGCTTGGAGAAGGCAGGAAAGGCTCGATTGCGCTCCGTTCTCCTTCACCCGCTCCCTCAAGTCATCCAACACTCCATCAGCTTTCAGGCCCAATTGACTGTTGCCAACTCCTCCTACTGCGGCTTGGACATAGCGTGGAGCCGGGCAAGTGGCATAGTCTCAGGGGTCTCAGGCATGGACCACAACACAAGTAAATGCCAGTACAGCCAACAGAACCAGGAACACCCCGTTCCAAAACTTCGTACACAACCAGGTTGCACTCTACAACTCTAGTCACAATACACAGCAACAAATGCAAGACGGGTACAGACCAAGGAAACAGGGCATTACACCCTGTTCCACAAAGTAGCGCACAACCTAGCTGCCCACGAAGAAGGCCGGTTTCTCTCCGCCAGAACCCACAAGAACCCTTAAAACAAAATATATATCGAACCACGCTCTGCTACCATTTCAGCAGCCCCTCCCCTCTTAACCCACTTAGAAAGGAGAGGACACCGCTTTCGTCCCTGGTTTCTTTACATTATTTCCCAATGCCTTTATCTCCGAGATAGTGGGGTGTCCAGGCTGTATGCCTTGACTGACGATAGCCAGGAAAATCTCCAGATAACAAGATTAACCTATGTTTAATATAACAAAATAAAGCAATACAATACAATAAAATACAGACTCTACTCCCGACACCCAAACAGCGACGTCGCATATTTAGGGGGGGGATCTCTCTCCCTCAGTGCGCATAAAAAAGACAAAAGAAAAACAAGACGAACGTAAATTAAAAAAAAACAAGCTCCAAACAGAATTTCGCTCAGTTACCACATTGACGGCGAGCCACTCCGTCATAATCGCAAGAGATATGAGCACACTTGTTAACAAGTCAAATACAGCTCGGCTTTAAAGTCGGAGCAATACAAAAAATGCCAGGCAAGATAAGATAAATGCTCCAAAAACGCTCAAATTAGCTACCACTTGTCCCAAAACCAAGGGAGACGTTACACTTCCCCAGCCAGAAGAAGAAACCCAAACCGAATTTAGACCAAATCCGAACAGAAGTTGGTCACCTCCTCTGACTGCTAGTAACCGAGTGGGGCTCTATCGTGCCCTCCTTCCTAAACTAAAACTCCGAACAAGCTAGAAAAAGCTGGAGGGGAAAGGGGAGGATCACGTAAGCATGGACGACAATATTTTAGAACACTAGAACTCTGAGGGAAAGGTGAAGGGGCGCAGGCCGCCGCAGGGAGCCATGATAGTAAACATGGCTCACAGTAATAAACTATAAAATGCTGGGAAGCTCTTGGGTAGCTGCAAAATTGGTGGCTTCTCAAGAAGAGCTCAGCTACATTAGTGGGTGGGTGGGTGTGTCAGTTGGAGAAAACTACCGATTACTCTGAGGTAAGGGTATACAAATTCTGCAGATCTCTAAGCAAATACAATAACACTGGTAGACCTCTTTTCTTTACATTGTGTATTATAATGAAAATGATGATGATGATGGAAGGCAGAGATTGTTGAGGGCACAGCGCCTGTGAAATCAGCTGCCTGATTAATCCTTAACACCAGCAGGGGCAATTCCATCTCAGTGGAGTTATATTAATTGAAGTCAGCTGATGATTGTAAAGGATGAGGACTAACCCAACTTCTGACTTGTATCACAAAGCACGGGTCATATTTTATTAGTTATTTGCATTGTTTTAGCAGACATGATCTGTATTTTGATCCTATTATAAGTTTTGGTTATATTATATATACAGTGTGACGTGGATGGCACAACAGGAAGTGGTGGTCACGTGAACTCTGCGTTCCTTGAGTGACGTCACATACCCCCACTCCTTCCACCAGTACGCAACACTCGGTAAACACTGCNCCGCGGTGATAAAGCAGATGAGCAGCTGTGTTGTTACCACAGGATACTGCAGTTTCTATGCAGCAGGAGACAACTCTCGACAACGTTGATGGCAACACCGGTAAACACGGCGTCACACAACAGGGAAGCCCGTGCAACGACTGTTGCTAGGCAATCAGTTAACACGGCGTCAGGCAACAGTGGTACCTATCACGTAACTGTTTTCTGTGTTGTCCGTGCCGAGGCTAAATAAAGAGCAGCAAGCACTATTCAGTAGTGAGTGAGTAGTGAGGATTAAGCCAGTAATGAGTGAGTGAGTTGCTAGAGAGAGAGTAACCAGCCAGTTGCAGTCTTGCACTCTTCAGAGTGAATGGAAATGAGAAGTAATTGTGATACTGCCAGTGGCAGTAATATTGAGATTGTAAAGTTTGTGATTGTAAGAGCGAGTGTTCAATAAATTCACTAGATCCAATAAGGCGTGAAGTTACTTGTCGCATGACATACACCCAACACGTGACAGTATTTACAATCTACTCTCGAGAATATGGAGTAATAAGTAAATTCGTTCTAAGTAGGTGCCTTGAGTGTGAACCAGTTTGGTTTCCATGCCCCTCACTACACAGTGCTTACAGACCATGTCACCTTAAATTTCACCAACATTGTACGGCTACTGTATTCTTGGATATTTAAGAAACCTTGATACAACATGGCACTTTGGCTTGCTATATGAATTATCGTAATTAAAATTTTTGGTTCATCTAATCAAGCTTAATAGCTCTTTTTTTTTTCTCTCTCTCAGAGAAAATTTAGAGTTTAGGTTGAAGGTGAAATATCTACGCCAAGGGATGTACAAGCAGGGGTGCCACAAGTTTCTGTCCTTTCCCCTTATTCTCTAAAATATGTATAAATGATATGCCCCAACCACCTGGTCTCTTTGCTGATGACACCTGTATATATATATATGCTATGTTCTCATAAAGCTGCAGTGAGGTCTCACTGATACTGAGATGTGGTATGAGCACTGGAACATAAAACTCATTGAAGATAAGACTGAGCCCATCTGCTACTACCCCGTTAGTTTGACAGTTGACAGGAGTTCTGTATGGGACTTGAGCACGGAAGCAGAATAAAAGTCGTAAACATCCGTTACCAAGCAATGCCTATTGAAGATTGTAACAAACTGAGAAGACATAGTGTCACACAGTGATTTGTGATGTGTAGGAGTGGGTTGCATAAGTGTGCGATAAATCCAGTCATCAGTCCAAAATCCGACTATAGCCATGTGACATTATAAATGTAAATTTTATGAATAACTATATCATAAGATGGTAAGGTAAAGCATCCCCATAACAGACCCTGGAAGCCCATAGGGTTGTGAGACGTCAAGGCTCCAGGCCTCCATGGCCTCTTTGCAGGAATAGCTTTTACTTTTCAAAATAGTGTTACAGTAATATAATCACAAAGAATAAGGTTGATGGGGCATGTAGCACTCGTGAGAGAGATGAGAAATGCACACACAATTTTAGCATACATGAAGAAAGTAGACCACTTAAGACCTAGGGGTGATTTTTCTTCTTAAGTGGGATACAAGAATAAGGCAAACATTCAATTTTTCTTTGTACCATCTGAAAGATTTCACTGTACCATGGTTCATAAACCTCTGGTCTGCAAAGTTGAAAATGTTTTCAACAGTTTTTTCTTTAAATGTGGTATATGTTTATATCATGTTCTTACAGGTAGAACATTAATGTGAGGAAACTAAAGGAAACATGGCAAAAGTCCAGAGTTCAAGGGCTAAGATCTATCAGAAGAAATCCTCATTAGCTGATGAACCAACAGAACGTGTTGAATCAGAAGGAGAACGACTCATAAAGCACCTTGTGCGGAAGCAGATAGATACCCATATTAGTCTGTCAGAGTAAGTATCTTCACATCATAGCTACACTTTGCACAGTCTAGGTTTATCTGAGGTATACAAGGAGTAACTGAAACTTTGGCCATGAGTTCCACATACCAAAACAAGAGAAATGCCCATATTAGTATGTGTCTGGAAACATTTAATTTGCAAGTTATAACTAAAAGTGTACGTTTATAATAAGTGCTCAAAATATCCTCCATGGTATTCAATGCATAACCAACACATTTCATCATGGACCACCCCATCCATCGAAAGATGCAAGATTAGTTTCGGATAGTCTGACAGGCATCCACAATGTGATGGTGAAGTGCTTCTCTGTTGTCAACATGAGCTGCATGCACAAGGGCTTTTAGGTGTTCCCACAGATAAAAATCCAGAGGATTCAAATGTGGCAAGCATGAAGGCCATGCGATGGGTTTTCCTATACCTATCCATTGATTGTAATAGTTGTTATTGATAACGTCTCACACAGTCATGCATGTACTACATTTGTACTCTAAGTGTATGAGATTACATTTATGTCTGTGGCTCTGTATATGTATTCCTGCCTATTAACTTTTGAACACCTGAACCAATCTTTATGAACCTACCAACATTACATCCTCTTAAATTTCTGAAGCTAAACCTTAATAATGTTTAAACACCTTCACCAATTGTCATGAAACTTGGTCTGTATAACATACTACATGAATCCGTCTCAACTTCATACTCCATAAGTCCTTTCCATCAGTAATACCATCATTGATTGTTGTGGTAATAACCAAAATGTTATACCTGAGCTGATTATCATGGGACATTGTACGTATATCATGCCACCTGAACCCATTTCAATGGCCTACTTATAAATTCCTTCCATCATAATGCCAACATTATAGCCTTTCAAATTTCTGAGACAAAACCTTGATATTGCTTCAATGCCTGTACTGATCCTCATAAAACTTGGTAAGAATGTTATGCCACATGAAAGCATCACAGTGCCATATATCATGAATTACTTGTACCAAACCCCACCACCATTGGTCGGAGAAATGTAACTTTGACTTTGAGCTTATCATTTCCCGTGTGGAGGCAAGGTCCAGTACCTCCACCATAGCCCTGTGAGTCATATGAGGCAACGAAAAGGGAAGTCTCGAATCTGAGACAGTAAGATACGGTCATGAGTCCCACAGGATTCGGACCTGTGAATGACTGTGCTGGTGAGGACCAGCAGCAAATGTAAACGACAGACCCATCCTCTCGTCAGAGATAATGCCCCACATCAACAAACCCGCAACTATCTTACAGTAATTAAAATCTGGTCTTAAGCCCCAGATGGGTGCTTTATTCCAAGACAGACTGACTGACTGACTGACTGATTGTCGGTCATAATATAAGATTTAGAATCAGATTCAGTTTAGTCATCCTCCCATCTGGAGGCAGGATCGAGTACCTCCACCATAGTCCTGCGAGTCATAGGAGACCATGGAAAAGGAACCCAGTTCTTGGGGCTATAACTGGGCCACCCTGTTCCTGGGGCATCAAAATACGGTGACCTGGCCCTCCAGGTTGGGGGAGTCTCGAATTTGAGACAATAAAATGTTGTCATGAGACCTGCGGGAGTCGCCCTGAGAATGACTGTGCTGACGAGGACCAGCAGCAGTTGTAAACCTCAGACCCATCCTCTTGTCAGAGAGGATATTACATAAGGACTAATAAAGCAAGTATTCAGTTGAAAAGAAATTTTCTGGCCATGGTCTAAAGGGTCTTGTTGCCAAGACTACCTGATTGAAGGTAAACCGCTAGTCATAAAGTAACTCTGACTCTGATTCTGACTCTGACTGAACTTAGTATTTCTTTAATCTTGACGAAAGGCCAAACATATTCATAAGGGACAAACCCATCTTCTCGCCATAGAGGATATCACTTAAGGACTATTACTGTAAGGTTTCATTTGGAAAAATCTCTGGCCATCGTTCTCAAGGGGCTTGTCATCAAGACAAACTAATTTGCTGTAAACCGCCAGTCATAAAGTAACTTTAACTTTGAGCTTAATCAATTGTGGAATATTCGCCAGCCAGAAAGTACTTTAACGGAGGACATTGTTACGATCTGTTACCAAAAAACTGCTAGTGAAGAAAGAAGATTTTATGTATGTTGCAGTTACAGTGTTGTTTAGAGTGTGTAAGCCAGTGAGGCTATTATAGTTCCTTGTAGATATGCATTGTGTGTATAAGTGTTCAGTAAATCCAATCACCCATCCAAAGCCTGTCGTTAACCACTCATCACATGGCAATATATTAAAATACCTCAGACAATAGGCATCCATGATGGTTGTAATAGCCTCTTGTCAAGAAAAAAGTGTTTCAAAAATAAAATTTAAAATCCATGTACAGATGAGGTTCATCATGTTCATCTGCCTGTCACTTTATCTGTTCATCTGTTCAATATATGGTGAAACATATATGACATCTGTTCTAGAGAGTGTAGAAGTTTCATTAATATTGTCATGATTTTAGGGATGTGTGACTATAGACGTGGTATGGATTGGATAGTTGGATTTATTGACCACTTTACACTCATTTCATAACTAAAAGTAATTATAACATTGTTGATTTCCATACAAAAATCACCAGGACATGCTAAATCTTATCAGTCTTCACTAGGAACATCCTGGCAAAAGATTTATAACAGTCTTACTGTAACTACAGCACACAGAAAGTCTTCAAATCATACACTAAGTCTTCTCTTCACAGGCTGACTTTCAAGTCTCACCTGAACTCGTTGCCATTTCTTCTCAATTGTCTCGACTGCCAACTCAAGAGACTCCCTCAATTCTATTTCTTAGCTGGCCCGGGAACCTCGTTATATAGCCTAGGAGCAGATTCAACAGAAGCACTGTTTCCATCATTATAGCTTAACAATACCTCGATTATTACTTGCTGGCTCCGGCTTTCAGGCATCATGTCACAATATTAAGTAATTATAAGGACCAGAGCCTGGTACATTTTTGGGTGTATCTCAGTAAAGTGTTCAGCTGAGACATAAATATTATAATGTGAAGATATTAATAAATTATATAATATATATAAATTACAAATTATATACATTTTATAATAGGCCTGTATATCTTTTATTATATATATGAAGCTGATTGTGGAGGTAACAAAATCTATCAAACACTTGCCATCAAAAATGCTGTTCAAGCATCAGTCATCATTTTTCCATCTGACAGATGTTCACTTCATTTAAAATACATAGCATCCTATTTCTACCTAAACAACAGAGAGGCAATTTGAAGAAATAAAACAAATTTTTAATATACTCAACACTGAAGGGCATATTTGCCCATTCTTATTCTCCAATTGCAGAATATATATTTTATTGTCTGAGAAAATGTGTCACTATGAATTATTTCTCCAACTTCATCCTATTTTCTTCCATTATTGACATGTTTATTTATCAAAGAACTGTCACAAACTCCAGCACAGGTTCATTCATCAAATTTCATTTATTTACTCGTTAACCTTTCTTATTTTTCTTGCTGTGTGTTTATAGCATGTAATTAGAGCCCTTGCCAATTTCAGTGCCAGCAGTCTGAGGTGTGCATGATTTTATGATTCCTGGGATCACAGATTTCAGTCCTGCTCAAGGAATAAATGTCTTTATGTATTGTCATGTGGCTGACTCATTCCAGAAGTGCTGCCTGTATGAAGTACAGTTGGTATGACTGTGTGCTTAGAGGACAACAGGACTCAAAGGAATAACAAAGAAAAATTCATAGTCTTTATTCATTGCACATTGTAGATATTTGTGGCCTAATGGTCAATTATGGTGGACCTCTATATTAATTTAGAAACATTCTCATCTAATTCCAGTCAACTGAAGCAGAATAAGCAATTTCACAAATCAGCAGAATATGTTCCATTGACCAAATACACCTCAGGACAGATTTCCCTACAAGAATTCGAAAATTGTACAAAACGAGCCAACCGTATTGAAAATCTTAAGTCATTTGGTCTCACTGAAGATGAAGTGGAAATGATACTTGATTATGGAAAGGGGAAAGAATTTTTTTCTGAGAAATACAAGAGGCTGGAGAGTTCTGTTTTGAATTCTCGACTTGAACAGATCTTCTCAAAAATTAAGTCTGGTGAAGAAGAACAGAAGCAGGATAATTACAAACAAAGGTCAGTGAAATGTGTAATATTTGTTATGAAAATGATTTATAATGATTACAACTGGCTTAGTAAGGTGCCTATTTCTTCTTTTACCTTGCTGTCTATCGTGGTGATCTAGACTGTTATTTCTAAGGAAAGGCTGGCTTATGGAGTGTCATGTCGACATGCCCTCCCACCAGTAACTTTTAAACTCATTGAATATTTAATTAATTTGCTGTTTGAATCATGCCAATGAAGGGTATGCCATATTCACTCATTTTAATTTCCAACAACGATACCAACATGAAAATTTCAAAAATGGGTAAAAAAACTGGTGGCTACCTGTCTTGTAGACTCCTGAAAGTTTGTGGTATAGAAAACGCATCATTTCTTAGGGCAGCCGCACACCAACTGCGTGATGACAACCATCAAGACACGAGACAAAAGACGCAGTCTTGCTTCATTCATGATTCATCAGCATCATGACTCAGACCAGTGTGCGGCAGTTTTCATAATCTCATTTGTTTCAACTGTGCTCCTTTCTTTGCATCCTGTCGCAAACATCATGTCTTGACTGTTACATGCCTTGATGCATGCCATTGTGTGGCCTACCTTTGTAGCACATGTAATGACAGCTCCGTGATAATGAAAAATGTATATTCACTTTTCTATTTGATTGCAGTAACTAATACACTGTTAGAGATGTTAACATGTATTTATTCTTGGTTTGCCTCATGATGCTCTCAGTAGCTCGGATCACATAACATTGAATGTTTGAATGATCAGTGAGTCACTGATTGTAAATAAGATACCTATTCTGGAGGGTGGTCTACTCTCATGACCCAAGATATTGGTGGGTTGACTGAATTATATTGGCCAAGCGGTAGCATAATTCAATGAAGATGATTGTCAATTGCCCTACTTGGGTATGTATTCAAACCACATAGAGTGAATGCTCACTACAGAATATAGAGTATTTATTGAACTGTCTAGCATATTTAGTATAAGGCTAGCCGACTTAAGTCTGGCCAGCAGCCACTGAGCAACAACCAGAGAAAATGCATCAGTCAACTCAAGTCATCTTGTTCTTATACACTTCTTATTTAATGTTACAGTTCAAAGCCCTGAGACCATGAATCCCTATATAATAAGTTACACCAAATTTAGAGAAAGGAAAGTGATTAGTTAGTTCCAGATACAGGACCCAACTGGTTTATGAAAATGGCAGGGGTAGATATTATATTTTTAAATGGAGACATTTTAACATCTTGACATGCTATATAATTTAGTAAAAGACATGACCCAAGACGTCAGAATCAGACATTATGAGACTACAGGGTTGGGACAAGCCTTTGTGACACTACAAGAGGTTGCAATGGAAGCCACCATAATTTGATGTCAGACTCATGTCTAGTGTCCAGTTATTCCATTTAGTTGGCCAGTTCAAAGTGACAGGATGTCAATGCCAGGGACAAGCTATAATTAAACTGAAAAGACATCCAGATTATGGATAATGATAATGGTTAATTACCATCAAGTAGTGCTTATAAATTCACTTGGTGTAAGTGTTAAAAGATTAACAATTGATTGTAGTAGATGGTAATTCTGCCATTTCAGAGAAAGAAACACGACAGCACTGGAAGTGGATGTTTGTGTGTATAACCATGTAATATTGTACTTGTAGGATGAAGGGATTCACGGCAAATACGTTTGTTACCTAACTGACTTATTAAGTTAACTATCAGCCTGATACCCACATGGGTAAAATTTATAACAGGAGGTCCTGGCTTCAAATTTTGATACAGGGGCCACTGATTGACTGTCTGTATGGTTTTCCACAGTCCTTCCAAGTAAAGTTTGGGAAAGAGTCTCAAATTAGGTCATGACCATTTCCACAGTATTTACAAATCATTGAGATATGATCAACATCTGATTTATCCTCCAAAATCATGAGAACACCATGCAATCTATATGCTTTCAACCCAGTTCCTTCAACAGAATAAGTACTACACCTAGGGAAAAAACATCTTCTGCACCAAACTTCAGGTTCACCAAAAACCACACTTGATCACCGCCACATCATAACTAAATACATTTTCATTGATCACTTCCCCCCCCCCNTAAACACATCCACTTATCAGTGTATGTCTATTTTTAATTTCTTGAATTTTAAAGTGTATATGTTATTATGACCTGCATAATGAGGAGCTTCATAACTTTTACTCTTCTCCAAGTATAATTAGAATGATCAAGTCAAGGAGGATGAGGTGGGCAGGTCATGTAGCACGAATGGGAGAGACAAGGCATGCATATAGGATACTAATGGGAAAACCAGAAGGAAAGAGACACTGGGAAGACCAAGGTGTAGGTGGGGTGGACAATATTAAAATGTATCTTAGAGAGATATGATTGGATTGATCTGGCGCAGGATAGGGACCATTGAAGGGCTGTTGTGAACACTGTAATGAACCTTCGGGTTCCATAAAATGCTGGAAAATTCTTGAGTAGCTGCAGAATTGGCGGCTCCTCCAGAAGGGCTCAGCTCCATGAGTAAGTAAGTAAGTAAGTAAGATGGTCATCCTAATGGCTTAATTAATAATTGCATTTTATAACAGATTTACCTGTTGTGAATCCTTTAATCTCAAAAGATTATGTAGTTTCACACAGACCACAATTTCCATTATCACCATATTCCTGTCTAGAAAGGGGCCAAACTAACAACCACTACAGTTCAGGTTCTGCCAACTCGGAATCTTTTGCACTCCCAAATATGAAGCAGGAGCACTACCTATTGCTCAAACATGATATTCAATGAGAATAATGTGAAATTGGGAATCAAGAAAGAAAAAATGTGCTTGCTGATTCTTTATGTTAGAAATTGCACACACAATAATGAAGCAAAATTATATTTCTTATCTGAAAGATGTTTATTTAGGTGGCAGCTATAGTAGTAGACATCTTAATGTTAACAAAATGCACAAAATAATTTAAAGAAAGTGTGTGTATTGAAGTTCTTCCCAGAACTTTTTGTTTATTAAACTTTCATATATTACCTTCATTTATTCTGCATAATACTTTTTTTTCAATTCATCTTCTACAATTCACCCATTGAGAATTCGTTTTATTGGTTTCAGTGGCTCAAGCATAAGCCGACATGAGCAGGAACTTGGTCTGTCAGTAAAACCAAATAGTGAACACACTAGACTCCTACAGTTTGCTTTATCATGTCAACCATCTGGAAGCAACAAAGACATAAGACCACTGGATCACCCTATCAACAACCTCAAAGATATTGAACAACAGCTGTTTGGTCACCTTGCCAAGAAGAATCGACAAAAACGAAAGTCAAAGGAACATCAAAGTGCTTCAGCCTCAAAATGTACATCTAAGCAATCCACATCCACAAAGCTGTTATCATATGGTGAAAGACGTTTGTGGGATTTAAAGGACATGCCTAGTACAAAACGACCTTCCAAAGCAACAACCAAACCATCTCAAGTATACTCTTGTAAACCTGAAACTTTGTACACCATCAAAGAGAAAAAAATTGTGCCAGTTAGTCATGTTTCTCCACTTCCAGTCTCTATCAGAAGTGCCTCCCATAGTAGCAGTGGCTGTAATGGACAGCCATTTGTTGTCTCAGACATGGAAGATTCTGAAATTGAGACGCTTTGTAGAGAAGATATTCAGAGGAACAAATTGAGTATTGAAGATATTAAATTGCTTCCCAAATTTCAGAATTATGATAAAGGATCTGCATCTGAGGTAATGTTTCAGAATTGTTGTGTGTATATAAACTGGGATAGAAATGGGGTAGAAATGAAACTCCTTCTTGAAGAAGTATGTATTTTTTATACTTTGTTTATTTAATTTATTTATTTGCTTACTAGTTGAGGGAGCCAGGATAGCATAGTCGGTATAACGATTGGCTATGGGCTGGAAGGCCAAGGAGTCAGAGTTCGAGTCCCAGTAGGATCAAGAATTTTCTGTTCTCCACGTTGTCCAGACTAGCTCTGGGGCCCACCCAGCCTGCTATCAGTGGGTACCGGGGGTAATGCGGTTGGGGCGTGAAGCTGACCACTCACCTCCAACTAGTGCTGAGGTCAAGAAAATATGGAGCAATACATCCATTCCCCTATACACCTTTATGGCGTAGTGCTTAATTAGTTAAACACAAGGACAACTTTACCTTTTACTTACTAGCTTAGTTATTTGCTGACTGAGCAGCATTATACATGGCATATCAGCTGGATTTGACCCTAGCATGTTGTTTCTCCAATCTCTCGAGGACAATGAGAACTCTATAGAGCTGAGTTGTCCTTGAGAAGATGCCAGTTGCGCAGCTGATCAAGAATGTACCCATATTTTATGGAACCTGAAGGTTCCTTACTGTGTTCACAAGAGCCCTCCACTGGTCCCTATCCTGAGCCAGTTCAATCCAGTCCATATAACCTCATCCTATCTCTTTGAGATTCACCTTAGTATGGTCCTCCCACCTGTGTTTGTCATCCTAGTGGTCCGTTTCCTACTAGCCTTTCCATCAAAATCCTATATGCATTTCTCATCTCACTGTGCTTGCTATGTACTCTCACCATCTCATCTTCCTTGACTTGATTATTCTAATTGTACTTGGTGAAGACTGTTATGAAGCTCCTCATTATGCAGTTTTCTCCACCTCATATCACTTCATCTCCCTTCGGTCCAAATATTCTCTTCAGCATCCTTCTCAAACACCCTCAGCCTATGTTTCTTCCTTAATATCAGAGACAAAATTTCACACCCATACAAAACCACAGCCAAATTAATAGTTCTACGTATTCTAATTTTTTATTTTTTTTGACAGAAGACAAGACAAAATATCCTGGACTGAATGGTAACCAGCATTATTTGAGTTCAGGCTTTTCTTAATTTCTTCCCAAATCAAATGTTGATTGATGGGTTGCTATCATTCTCAAACATTTGAACTGTGCCACATTTTCAGGGAATCTATTATCTATCTGTGTGTCATGATTTTGCCCTGTATTCTGACAAATGCCAGTATTATCAAAAAGGCAACTCATCAACTTTATTTCATTACTTTCCCCGTTGAACATAACTGTTCTCTCATTGGCTGTTATGGTAAGCTATTGATCTAGTTGCCTGACAATCTGATCACGTGACAGCAGAGTTATACTGACAACTCTGACTGCACTAACTTTATCGTCATTGAACTCAGTCTTTCAAAACCATTAACACCAAAGCCCATAAGTGGGTACAGTTTAGCAACAGTTCCATCTACTTCCTGACCTCACAGTGTCATCCTGCCATTTCTTTCATGGTCTTCCAAATTGCCGGATTTGAAGACATTTTCCCAACCAATATTTTTAAGGATTTTTGCCTTCAGAATTTCTTATATCCGCAGCCAATTTCAGCCTCCTAGATTTCACTGTTAAACTAATATCCAATAACTTGTATAAATTGTGTAATATCCTAAGATTTTTTTTATTGCTAGTGGGATGGGACTAAGTCCCTTGTACTGTGGCCACTTCTGGCCTATTGTACCAGCCCCAGATGATAGGTGAGGGTGATTGTGGAGCAACTGGTGGAATGAAGATTGGCAGGGGAAACCGAAGTACTCAGAGAAAACCTGCTCTAGCACCACTTTGCCCACCACAAATCCCACTTGACCAGACCCGGGATCGAACCCGGGCCGCTGCGGTGGGAAGCCAGCGATTAACTGCTTGAGCTGTGGTGCGGCCAATATCCTAAGATACTCGTATCATTCATCTTAGGTTCAAATATTTTCCCGGGCAGTGTATTCTCAGTGCCTCCCAGGAGTTATTTCTTAAACATTAATGCATCGGCCCAAATATTTACACTTTTAACAATTAACCATGTATCATATTTTTATTCTCTTTTATATCTGTGTACTGTGTTCCTGGTACTCATTTCTGTTAGAGGCTGAGTCGACCCCAGGGCCATAGTGTGGCCGGAAGGATTAGGTCAGTTGAAGAAAAATCCAGTGACTTCATCGGGACTTGAACCCGTGACCTCCCAGCTTGTAGCATAGTACCTCAACCAGCTACTCCATTTGTGTATGGAGAATAATTTGGTCCTTGTTGTTTCATGAAACTGTAATTTCTTAGTATTGTGACGCGTTATCTTACATCCATCGCCGCGACATCCGCTACAATCGGAATGGACACTCCATGGCAACGAATACGTGGAAATTGGGGAGTTAGTGCAGCGACAAATTATAGCAATGAATTGTTGATTAACAACAGATGAGATGAAACCCATTACTGGTGTATCTATAAGGAGCGTTCCCGAAGCAATGGATTACCGAACATGTGAGATCAAACCTTGGCAAGGGGTGTCCTCTGTTGAGTCCGCGTGTGCCTTATATAAAGGACCTGGCCTCGAACGGAAGTTGAGTACTAGAGTATTGGGCCAGAAGTCAAGTGATACTGCAAGTGATAATAATTGTAAGGTGTGTAAGAGTGAGTGTCCAATAAAGATTCACTAAATCCGAGACCCACATGAAGTTATTTGTCGCATGACATACCCAACACGTGACAATATATTTACAAAATTTTCACCTATAAAGCTTCTTCTCCACATACAAATGTCTGTTGATGGCAAATCGGAATACCTTAAACATCTGACTTTTCGTTCCCTTGTAATTATTTTGCAATCAGTCTTGTGTTTGACTGAAATATATACTTTTATATGATCCAAAATTGCTTGCAATACTGAATCAATCTTTGATCCAGCTTCAGACATCAGTTGTAACATTTATCAATATTTGGAGCACTTTTGTCCACTTGTGAATTCACTGTAATGCCACTGCTTAGTCACCATACTCTCCTCTTCTTTCATGTTCTCTCCTGTTAGATCACTTTACTGAAAACTTACAGCAGGAAAGTGTATGAGGAAGGATACTTCCAACATTTAATAACAGCACACCCTGTCACTTCCTGTTGCACAGTTTTCTAATCCCATGAATGAATTACTACTTTTATTGTTATGTTATGTTATTTTTGTGCAAAACTTGAGGAAAGATTCTCTCTATATTCATTTCATTGGATATAACCTCAAAGTTGTGCACCATTAACATGTTCATAATTGACTTAAAGCAGTGTTTAATGCATGATATGCAGATATGCTAATGATATAGCTTGCCACCAAATTTCATAGGCAGTGGATGGGCACCACTGTGCAACAGATTCAGTTCTGAACCTAATCAAATTGAAATTCTGCTGTAGAAATGATTGCACCCAATGCTGCGGTAATAGTATGATTTTACTGCAAAAGTAGATCATGCCCTTGGAAACAGCTCTCAGTTCTAAAGAAGACTGAGTGTACCCCAGACCTGGTTTGAATGAACTAGTGGAAAAGAGTAAAATTCCTGCTTGTGTAAGAAATTTAACACCAAAAATCTAGCCTGTAGCTGGTCACTTTACTGACTGATCTGTTCTAGCTCACATCACTTTTAAGATTTGCATTTATAATTTACAGAATATCAGTAAGAATCTTGGCACTCTTCTTCTTCACCAACATTTTAATTTCACAGAAGTTGTATACACTGTAATATTTTTAGCTTTTAGGTGTTTTTACAAGGTAACAGTGAATGTCTTTTATGAAAATCACATCTGGAGCCACACCACATTTTCTATCAATCTTCAAAATGAGTGTAAATTTTATGTTATAAAACATATTTACAGGTTCTGTTTGTGAAGAATCTGTCCAATAGGGTCAAGGAGGCCGACTTGGTGTCTGTATTCGGACATATGGATGATCGAGGTCAACGGAGAATAATTTACAGACTTATGACCGGTCGAATGAAGGGGCAAGCTTTCATTACTTTTCCAAGTATGTAAAATATATATATTAGTGTGATGAATTATGATGGGTTACACTTTTAGGGGAAAAAATACAATTTTTAAGATGCCACTCCATGAGAATATTTGTAATGTCACTTGCCTAGTATAGGAAGGTATACTTAGGTTTTCACGTCCATTTCTTTGTGGGATTGCATCCCACATTAATATCCTTGTAGATTCTAAAGGGTTCTGATGATGGCGGATGACACAAAATTACTGGGGTTTTGGACTTCTTCTGTCTTCCAGAATTCTAGGTAATAGAGGACACTCTAGGTAATAGATGAGTGTCCTCTATTACTTAGAATTCTGGATGATGGAAAAAGCCCAAAACCCCAGTAATTAATATACTTGTTCATTCAGTGCATTTAATGTGCTGCTGGTGAAGCTAACTGACACACTATAACTCTTCACTGGAGAGACATGAGTGATCAGTTTCACACCTGGGGAAAGAGTCCCCAGTGTTCACTGGGTAGAAGGCTGGATGGTTCCCACTTCCCTGCCAGGATTTTAATCACAGCTCTCCAGCCTCTAGCCAGTCAATTTAACGACTGATCTGTGCTGTATACAGCTATAACACATTTTTGCTTATATTCTGTTCAGCACTCTACAAGGCCTTGGGGCATGCAGTAGCGTAGTTGTTTGAGGGGCTATGCTACAAGCCAGAAGGTCATGGGTTCACGTCCTGATGAAGTCATTGGATTTTTTCAGTTGACCTAATCCTTCCAGCTGCAGTATGGCCCTGGGGTTCACTCTGCCTCTTAACAGAAATGAGTACCAGGAATTAATTAAATAATTTTCCTGGGGAGTAAAGTGCGGTCGGCATGTAACCTTGACATCCTTACTGCCATCTTTGAGCTGATTGTCTAGATAATGTGGGACCCTCAGCATCTCACGACCCTATGGGCCTTCACGGCCTGGTACAGGGATAGCTTTACTTTTGCTGTACAGTGCCTCTTATTTGGGCATAAAGCGGCCCAAGTATAAAGCTGACCACACCTCGAAGTAGTGCTGACGTCAAGAATACGTGGATCTATACATCCATCACCCCATATGCCTTCATGTTGTAGTGCTTGATTGATTAAGCACAGTGATGACTTTACCTTTACCTTTGTTCACTGATAAATATTCCAGATGAAAGTTACAGATCTTAATTAAATTTTTATTTTTCTCAGAAGTTAATACCATTATTTCGTATGAAGAGCCATTTTGTAGAAACCTTGTAAAATTCCAAGAGTTGTGTTCTGGGACATAATGATTGCATCCAAGAACATAATACTTTTCATAGGTATCAGTGTGAGAACACTGTGACACTGGTAAAGTTAGATTTGAGGTTCACCTGCAAAATATCATATCAACTCTTAAATAACATTAAAAATTTGTGAATGTTTCTCGTCCTCCTTGTTAATGCACAGTATACATGTTTTTTACATAGTTAGGATTAAAATATGAACAGATTTTTATAATATATATATATATATATTATACATATCTTCCATTACAGGTGTTGAGAAAGCTACAGAAGCATTAGAATTGATCAATGGATACATCTTGAGGAAGAAGCCTATGATAATACAGTATGGTCATTCTTTGTCTACAAAGAGCAAAATAAAGGCTGATTTGCAGAGTTAAACAGTGTTGTTAATGCTGTGTTAAAGGACTGGATATCACACTTGCAGATTAAATCATTTAATTCTGAAATTGAATATGTATGCATTAAAATAGAACACCTAACTGTCTGGTAGAAGTTCTCTGACATTTCAGAGGAATGTACCACCCCCAGTCTTAAGGGTCAAAATGTAAGCCAAACAAGCAGGATGGTATTCTTGCCGATTGATTTCTTATCTTACTCTTTGAGCAAGAAGATAGATATAATACATTCCTCCAAAACATTAGCAAACTTGTACCAGACAACATGGTGACACATCCCAGGAGACAGCACTCACTATATGATTTATATTGGTAAATTTTCTTTTCAGAAATTAACTTTCTGGGGAATATTGCCAGTAACACAACTTAACTCTTAATTTTCTGATTCCCAGATATATTCTTGTACCTTGCCAGAATACTGTAACTGGAATAAAATTGCCTCCTGCACCAAATAGAGTCATACAGATCCATGCTGAAGACTTAACTCTTCATATTGTGACATAAGGCCTGATAGCGGCAATCTACCCGTCTGTTGAATGGGGCTTCACTGAGCACCTTCCCATGGCAACGTGGAAGGCACTGCTGCTGGATGGCAAATTGTTGTAACACGTTTCCACAGCAACGAATACGACTGAATAAGGAATGCATTCACATCGATCCCTAGGCAACAAACCGTCCAAAGCACAGTAACGGGAGAACAAAATAAATGTACTGTTAAAGGAGGTGGCTTTGACATGGTTTGCGAAAGTTTGTAACAGGAGAGTTTGCGAGACAAATTCATTCATTATAGGAGTCATTCATTACTGGATTCATTAGTTACGAAATTACTTAATTATGGAGGACAAGAGAGCACTAGAGGCTGGACACCCATGATCCAGTCAACAGTGAGAGATTTGTTATCCAGAAGGAGTTAAATGTGTGAACTGTTGTAATCAAATGTAATTGTAATAATGTCATCCAGTAAATCCAATCAGTTGATTCTAGAACTCACAATATTAGTCACACATACCCCCTACACGGGGCAGTAATTAAACTGTATTACTTTTCCTCATGTTTAAAGTTTGGTGTTTGGTGATGATTGTAACTGTGTGTTTTTCAGAATGAAAGGATTCTATGTCATGTTCATTCTTCATCTGCCTAATTTGAAATTGTTGTGACTGTGCAAATTAAGTTCTGTTCCATTCAAACTACATATGGAGTATGATATAAAGAAGGACAAAATGTTTGTATGACAAGTAGAAAACCTGCTTTGTAATGAGCCAAAGATTGTAAGAAAGGACAACTCACTCTCCTAATAACACTAAACCACCTAAACTGTATCAGTTCATTTGTATGCTGACACAGTGCGGTTATGGACTGCAGAGTAAAAATCAATGTTGCCAACTAAATAGCGTAGTAATTAAATTCGCTTAATGGGGGGTGGAGTCCAAGTGGATCCACTCGGCATAGTGGCCACTGATTGGACTATTGTACCCGCCCCAGGTGATTATGATGATGGAGAATTTGGTGGAATGAAGATTGACAGGGGAAACGGAAGTTCTCTGAGAAATCCCGCCCCAGCACCACAAATCACACTTGACCACACCCGGGATAGAACCTGGGCCACCCCGGTGGGAAGCCAGCGACTAACTGCTTGAGCTATGGCGCGGCCACATAGTGTAGTAAATTTGGCGCGAATAAATACCTGCTCAGCTTATTGGGCAGGTAGTTTCAGGCACTGCTGCACACCACTTGTGGGCCTGTCCCGTGTACCCCAATTGAAGTGCATGTCTGTAACTCCGCATGTAAAGCTACTTACTTAGACAGACAGAGGTCTTCTGGTTGAGATTAAAGTTTCATAACGCTTGAAAATATTAGTGAGTATCTTTTCATTTCTGGGGCATGTGGTTTTTGAGTCCATTTAATGAAAAATTGAAGTCAGAGAAAGCATCTGATTTCTATCACAATTGTTGGCACTATATTTATTTTCCCTAAGGATTCGCACAGAAATTACTGCTTTAATGTTTCAGATCCCAGGATCTAGAATTATGAAAAGTACTAGAGGAATGTTGTCCGAGGTAGCAATCGCTCATGACATCGGGGAGTGTAGTTCTGGCAGAATGGAACTTTCTACTGCCATGTAGGAGTTTGTTCTTCCACAAAATTCTTCAGCCAGAAAAGCAGCAAAATACTGCGATGATCACAACAGAAGCCTTGTTGTATAGGTTGACTTTGTTAGATCTAAGAAGAGTCGGTTTCAAATTCATGCAAAGAAACTGCATTCAAACTATATTCAGTGTTGAGAAATATCTAGCAAAAAGGTCAATTTAAAAAGAAGAAACTCTCATTGACAGCAGGCAGCAGTAAATGTGATGGAGGTGTTTTTGCGTTTGAAAATGGCAATGGATATTACAAAAATTGTGGGGGTTACTGTTAAGGCACAAATTACAAATCCTTTTGAAAGACTGGTTAGAATGCTACTGTGTCAGGATTGGTATCGTGAGTCCTGCTGCGATTGAAAGCAGAAGAAACGCTTGTGTGCAAATCATGCCTACATCGTGACCAAGCATCTTTCTGTAAGTCGACTGATATTACAAGAGTGCAACTGGAACACAGTACAACTCTGTTTACGTTGAAACTGACTCTACGTTTATTCCATTTTCTGTAGAAAGTTATGTTCATTCATCGTGTCCAACAAATCCTATGCGTGGTTTCTTTGGACACTTGTGTAACGAATTAATGTGGTAAATTGAAGTATTAAAATAAAGCTTTTGTTGCTGCTTCAGTGTGTATTGTTCTGAAAATGATAATGGACGTCACTAAATTATAAATAAAATTTAATCTCCTCTTACAATTATAAAAGACAAGTCCGTCCAGTGTGACTATTTCAGTTTTCTCACTTGATGATTCACTAGCCTTACATGTTTCGATCCATTTGGATCATCTTCAGGGACACCAAACACTTTTTAGGAACCACTATCACAACAGTTATCATATCAAATACACATGTAATGTCCAAGTACACAATGTTCCATCTATTAGTCACAGCAGCCTTTCTGGTTATAGAAATATGTGTATTTGATATGATAACTGTTGTGATAGTGGTTCCTAAAAAGTGTTTGGTGTCCCTGAAGATGATCCAAATGGATCGAAACATGTAAGGCTAGTGAATCATCAAGTGAGAAAACTGAAATAGTCACATTGGATGGACTTGTCTTTTATAATTGTAACTGTTAGTGTGACGGACCAAAATGAAACAAATCAAATTAATCTCCTCTTCTTCAATATCGAATTTGAATTGAATCTGAAAGTGCCCAACCCACCCTGACTTGCCTTAAGAGTGATTATTTACATCTAACTGACGTTTTTCGAAAACTTTTGATGAATATGTGTACAGTATTAATATCTTGACTATATATATTTTCACTGAACTTGGACTCTCATATTCCCCCATGTTAAGTTGTGGGAGGGGAATATTATAGTTGTGGTCTATCTGGAAATGGTTGATTAGATGTAGAATTTGAGAGATGTTTGCATACTGTAAGAAGTTTATGGGCCGCTAACAAGTACTGAGAGAGGCTATGATAAGTACTACATCTACATCGCAAGCCTCCAAAACAGTTTATTATATATACACCAAATATAGAATACTCCAATTTGTCCATGGGAACACTACAAAATCACAAAAACCAACAACTGACTCGATGATGTAAAGCATTACTCGAAGAATTTATTGTATCCAATTTTATTAGTACTGCAGTTCAGTGGTGTATATATGTTAGCCATGTATTTGCCTGATGTTGGCTTTTAATAGCCGAAACATGTAGCAGAGCCAAACTAGGCACTGACCTTGATATAGTTGTGTTGTGAAGGTCTTAATAAAGTAATTGTAGATGATGGAACTGTTGCTGGCCAGAATTGAAGCATTTACAAAAACCAAACAAGAAGATTTGGATTTGCTGGCAAGGATGGAAACCAAAATATACGCCCATAGGGAAGCTGTTCGAGAAGAAATGATGAAAGCTAACCAAGGAAAAGCAGATGCCGACCGAGATCACATGCAGCAAATGATGGCCAAACTAGAAACTGACCGAGAGGAAATGACGGCCAGGAAAGACGCGAAGCAGGCAAAGGTGGACACAAATGTAAAGCAACTAAAGACAAACATAAAAACCAAGGAAGCCAAGATGGAAATCTAAAGGAAATGAGAGAAGAAATCCAATCCATCTGAACAATATAAGACATGAAGCCAGCAGGCATTTCAGGAATAAAGTGAGGGAATATCTGGAAGACAAAATTGACAAACAGCAAGAACAAGAATATTAGAGACCTGTATAGAGGAATAAATGATTTTAAGGGGCTCCACTTGGACTGGTGATTCAGTTTGTCTTGTTCCATTGCACCTCGTCTGTGGCAAATGATTTATAAAAGCAACAATTTCTCCAACAAAATTGAATTGGCTGATTAGGGCTGGAGATAGTATACAACAGGACTTCCCTACCACCTGAATACACAGAAAGAAGTTTGCAGGAGATGTATGTTAAATTTGTAAACAAAGAAGTAGCAGAGAAAGCTCTGCAGAAACACAAGGATAGAAATTGGCATTTCATGGATGAAAACTTACAGTGATTGGGGCATATTGAAACAGTGGATGTAATCAGATTGCATGATAGGGATTTGGAATTATATGTTAAAAGACAAAAGATCTAAAGGACAACTCAAATCAAGATGGCTTACCCATATGAGTGATAGATGATATAACAAGTAGGAGAAACTTGTGGACTCAAGATGAAAAACTGTTGGAGTGCAGGTATATTTGAAGGTTTCTCATGCATCATCTAACCACTTAATGGAAACTAGACTACAATCTCAGGAGACCAGATGGAGGTGGCTTACCCAAGTGGCTGATATTAATACAAACAGAAGAACAGTATGGACAGAGGTGCAAGGTTAGATACTGTGGGTAGGCAAACATAGTTGGAGGCTTTTTATCAATAAACCCACCATCTTTTTTTTTATTGCTTGTGGGGTGGGACTAAGTCCCTTGTACTGCAGTACTTCTGGCCAATTGTACCATGATAGGTGAGTGACTGTGGAGCAATTGGTGGAATGAAGATTGGTAGGGGAAACAAAAAGTACTTGGAGAAAACCTGCCCCAGCGCCACTTTGTCCACCATAAATCCCACTTGACCGACCCGGGCCGCCACAGTGGGAAGCCAGGAGCTAACCACTTGAGCTATGGTGCAGCCAACCCACCGCTTAGTGGAATCAGTGGCAGCAGACAAGACAGAGGTACTTTAAAGGAAATTAAATGTTTGGAGTGTTTTCAAACCAGTTGAATCATGTGTAAAATAAAGGTAAAGTTGTCCCTGTGCTTACCTGATTAAGCACTGTGCCATGAAAATATATGAGGGAGTGGAGGTATAGCTCCACCATGCTCGACTTTGGCACTTGGTGGAAGCAAGTGATCATCTCCATGCCCCAGCTGCTTTATCCCTGGGAAAGAGCCCCTGGTACCAACTGGATAGGAGGCTGAGTGGACTCCAGGGTCAGTCTGGGCGCTGGAGTAGAGAAAAATTTTGTCCCTGCTGTGAATTAAGCACTGGTCATCCAGCCAGTAGCTTGTCACTATACCGACTGAGGCATCCTGGCTCTTTAATTATAACAACAACCAGAACAACAATAGTAGTAGTAGTAGTAGTAGTAGTAGTAATAACAGCTGCTGCATCAGCAGCAGGCAACATCAATGATGGTGGTAATGATGATACAGTGCAGTTTGAATACGTAGCTATGGAAGAGACCAAGTAACTAACTCTGTGGAGCTTGCTCATTCTTTAGAAGCCAGCAGATGCTCAGCCACTCAATTCCCAGAATTTTATGAAATTCAAGGCATATATACCTTTATACTGAGGCATCCAGGGTCAAAAGCATTTCATGCACGAAGGGGTTGTTAAAACACCCAGACGATATTGCAGGGTTATAATTTGAAAATGGAACCCAATTCTGCGTATAGAGCCAGGATAGCACAGTTGGTATAGCAACTGGCTAAGGGCTGAACAACCAAGGAATCAGAGTTCGAGTCCCAGTGGGGCAAGAATTTTAACTTTTCTGTGTCATCTGGGGTCCACCTAGCCTCCTATCCAATGGGTACTGGGCACTCTTTCCCCAGGGGTAAAGCAGCCAAGGCGTGAAACTGACCACTCATCTCCAACAAGTGCCAAGGTCAAAAAAACGTGGATCCATACATCCACTCCCCCATACATCTTCATTGCTTAGTGCTTAATTACTTAAGCACAGGGATAAGTTTACCCTTTTTACCCAAATCTATGTTTACTTAACAATCTGGCTTCGCCATAGCATGAAATGTTACAAAGTGGGCCTGTCATGTAAGTAGAAGGCCATTGAGTCACCATCACTGCACACGTGACATGTTTCATGCAAGAATTATTTTAATATTCCTGGACTTGTAGAATGTAATGTGGAGATTTGGTG